CGTGTCACCCTAGGGCACTTAACTATTTGTTTCCTATTTCGGTTGCACTAGAGCAATGAAGTGGCGTGCAACGTACCCCAAACGCTGTTCTCAGAATATATGGGATCCGTCTTCACCTTCCTAGGAATATTTTTTAGACAGTTTGTTCTTGAGTGCTTCGTTGACAGAGTTTCTTGTTTCTAATTCTTTCTGACCTGCTGTCTGATCTTCATTATGCAGTCAGAGAAGACAGGTGTTGATAAGTGTTTGAAGCCTCTTGGAAATGCTTTCCGTGACAAGCTAGCCATGTTTTTGACCAACAGAGAAGAGGTGACTAACTTGAGTGGTGTATTTGGTTGATTATGCTGCAAGGTGAAGACTATTTCCAAAATGACTTCCGAGTGGTAAAGGTGCGCTTTGTTTTTATGATTCTGACTTCAACGCCCTCATCCGTGCTGATTGCTCATAGTCGAAAGAATGGCGCCCAAATAAGCGAAAGAACTACGTATTTATAATTTTGTTGTCCCTGGAGAAGTTGTATAGCTGCTTAGTCATGTTGAACTGTGTAGCTTGTGTTCGTGAAAGTGCCTAGTTGATTCAGTGCACTATTTGTGTTAGTGAGAATAGGTTGGAGACAATCGTGAAACTCTGTGACACTCATCAGTAATGTTTGTCTACAACCTTGTAGGAACTGATGTCCTCTCTGAGATACAGAATATCATGCCCTAGCTAACCTGGCTTACTACTGCCTTTCTGTAGGATTGTATAGTTACACTGATTAGTATAACCAGCATATATTGCTTAATGTTAACCCTGAGACAGTTCTATGCATTTTTGTCATTTTAAACAACGAGTCAATTCACAGAAATCTTTAAACAATAATGCCTGTTTACCAATATTGAACTTGTTCAAGTATTGGTTTGTAGGGATTTGATTGATTGGTTACAGGGTTTCATCATGAGCTGACATTGGTTAGAGAACCATTGGAGAACCTGGGAGTACTGGACAGCTGTTTCTTCCTAGTTTGGGACTGTTCAGCAGTACACACCCACCGTAGGCAGTTACCTAGGGTTCTAGTGGGAAGCCATGACCAGTAGGGTACAGCAGGTCGAGTGTGAGGACAAATACTCGCCGACGACATTGGCTAGCGGTCGCGCTATGTCATCGATTGGCAGAAGTTGAAATTCATGGACTGGTCATTGGATCGTGTCCCAGTGGCTTTATGGTCTACGAGCTAGTTCGCCTTGTAACCAGAATGTCCTGGGTTCGAACCCCGGTGGGTGCGTACTGATGAAGAGTCCCAAACTGGGACAACACAAACAGCTGTCCAGTACTCCCAGGTTTTCCAATGCTTCTCTAGCCAATGTTAGCTCATGATTGAACATGTTGTCACGAAGGCAGTGACCATAACTATTTAACAACAGAAGTATTCAATGGGTGAAAAAGTTAAAGTATACTTCAAACTGCCAGAAGAAGCAGAAAAGACAGATCTTCAAGTAGACAAACAGAAGACTCAGATGACGAACGTAGCCAACCAACAGCGACAGCAAGCAGGATGTCAAAACCAGGATCGGAAAGGCAAAGCGGATTCCCACCACTCTTAAATCAGTTAGGAAATCTTCTGCAGCCCATGAGAGCACAAACAATATAATTCGGATTTATAAAACACCAAATAATTGAGCAAAAAATATTCTTTTCAATAATTTCCTCTTCTGGCTCTACAATTACATTTATCTTCACATACATAGAATATTCCAGAATAGTCGTCATTAACAGTGCTGGTGTTTTTTTTAAATAATATTGATTTGTAAAGTAAGAACACAGTGGAATTACAGTTCATTAAAGACGCTTAAATTATAATAAGCAAACAAGTATAATAGCAACTAGAATATCAACTAAAGTTAGGGAGATTTTCACGAAAATTGAGGATCATTCAAACCTTGATGGCCAAGGTAAGGATAATGTCTGAAGTAGCTTCTTTTGGATGCATAAATCAGGCTTCTTGATGTGGATCCCAACGGCCAGCCTCAGCAATATTTAGTAATCAAACACTTACGGCGAAGTTAAGATTTGTTGGTATGCGGTAGATGACTTTGAAAGCCGCCTCGTTAACATCAATCGTGTGTTCTGTATCCACAAGATGAGATAGAATAGCGCTACGAATAGATTTAGTTTGTCCTTTACTTAACCAATCATGCAGGCTGATGTTCATAAATCCAACAAGAAATACGCCGAATTGTACGGCCTATATAACTGGCTCACTCCACAAGAGCAGTTAACACCAAAAAGTATTTCCAACCGGACAATGCAAATTTATATCAACAGCTGCCTTTCCTCCATATTAAGGAGTCAGATGGTCAGCCGAAAGGAATTGCCAACAAGAAAATTTGTGAAGAGTCCAATCAAGAACCTATTGCCCAAGAAATGTGTGGAAGGAAATCGAGTTGGATTGAAAACACATAGTGAGGAGACTGTCGGGTAACATCACGCCCGTGGAACCTCAACTGGGAACGACGAGTTAAGCATGTGTCCAAGTATGACATAGAAGAGATCATAGGAGTTGACGGAAATGACAGCGTCTGAGCAATCGTGCAACCAAATAAAGTGGATCTCAGACAATAGGATAAAGTGGAGATATGTTATTGAAGCAATATGCTTCCCTTGGAACCATTACTAGAACTGTTTTTTTCTCTCGCAAAAGTTGGCATATCGCAGTTAGTAACCTGCATATTTTATCTCCTTGTATTTTTAATTTTTTCCCTATCTTTAGACGTTTGTACCTCCACTTGATAACCTACTTTTATCCATATATATGTATATATAATTTGTATTATTAATAACTATGGCTATGATAACTAAAGAACGTATCTACAACACACTGACGCCAAGTCACGTGACACATCAGTCTAGACAGCATTACATATATATATATGTGTGTGATTGCGTATGCCATGCTTGTATGCTTTGACCACCTTTCCATGATTTTGATATTTAACTACATAGGTAACATTAATTTCCCATTTACGACAACAGAGGAAGGAAGATAAAATCAACTGCATTGAATATACATTGATGTCGTAGTGTAGGTTTGCTAATGTATTCTGGCGTTTCATTTAAATGTCATCAAATATAGGTAGGATAGGTAGGGTAAGGCGTCTAATGAAAAATTATACCCAACTTTAATTTACATCGATTCATTCAAAATGTGTAATACTGTTAACAAACAATCATTATATGAGATCAGAAAAAGTAGATTTCTCTGGTATTTCTACGGCATCGCTGTAATTTTTCAGTAGCATGCCTTATTAAAGTTTCAGTTGAACGCCTACTTACCTCTACTGCTAAAACTTTAATTGAACAAAGTTAAATAGATAAAAAAAGTTGTAATAAGATATAAATGTCGATGCCAACAAATATCAAACTTGAGTAGTGAAAAAACACAGACACTGGTGCAGAATAACATGGATTCTTTTTATTTCGTTGGTTCTCATCAGCTGCATATAACCACTAATCCATAATAAATAAAAGTTAGTGTTAAATTTAACTTACTTTGATATATTTCTTCAATTTGCTGAGGCTATCACAATAAAATCGCTGAAAACTGACCTATATATATACGAAAGGGATCTGTCATCTGACTCCAATTACCTTTGGGACTCCTCCCTTAATAACTCTTTGTCTTCTAACTTTATGAACTTGCCTTTTCAACTCCCCTGCCCTTTAATCTCGTTTCTCTTCTGGTTTACATCCATATAAGATAATTTTTCTTGACCGTTTAGGTTCTACTCACCATACTGTATCATCATCTTATCATCTGTGCGTCGGTGGCACAGTGGTTGAATGCATGTGGTCTGGGGTTTGGTCCCCGGCCACAGGTGCACTCCTTTACCTTGCTAAGCCAGTAGTAAGACTGGTAAAGAGAGAAGGTTTGGAGGCATGAGGCTAGCAACTCCATCCGGCCGGTTACATGGCAATTTTTTTAATAAAATTTGTTTATTCCTTTACATTCCCAGTGGAACATAAGGCTACTTCAAGCTAGAGGTTCGAAGCTTCCGTAGCAGTGGTGTTTATTTTTACAGGATGAAGATGCTAGCCTCATGCGCAACCTTCCCTCTTTACTCGTCTCATGCTGGCTTAGCGAGGTAAAGCAGTACCTCCGTGGCCGGGGATCGAACCCTGAACCATATGAGGCGTGGTTTGCGAGTATTCTGTTGCTGTGACGAGGAACTTTGGAAAGCAACTAGCTGAGAACCTATCACCCAACAAAAATGTGCAGGATGAAACAGTGGTGAATCAGACACACACATAGACTGAGGAGAAATTTAGGTGACTTTCCATGCCAAGCAATTGGCTTGAACCCGCATAGGAGGCTGCAAGTTATTTCACTGAGGATCATCTAAAGGAATATGTGTGGGCGGTCATGTAGACAGCTGAAATCGACAGTAGATAGACAAGCGTAATACAAATGTACTGACGAAGGCCCATGTTTCAACTGGAACTCAAGGAATGAATAGTAAATGATTATTATTCTTTTACTGTCCCCCTGAATTCCGTGAGTACGCTGACGCTTTTCTGTTCTCTTCTGCCCTGTTTAGCTTGCCTCATTATTGTCGACAATCTCCTATCTCCTCCACGTCACTCTCGAACCAACGACAAACTCTTCGTTTCCTATTCGGAATCCCTTCGAGCGATGGCCTGTATTGCGCTGTCATTATACAGTTTCCTCAACGTGTATCTAATCCGTCTGCATTTCTTTTGAAATATTTCTTGAGATATAGGATCTTGATTCGTTTGTTCCTAGAGTTTCTTGTTCCTAATTGCTTCCGTTTGGCCATTTGACCTTCAGTGTGGAGCTAAAGAAGGCGGTTTTCGACAAAGGTCTTCAGTCATTACCTATCGAAAATGCTAATAATGCTATTGATAATGACTGATTACAGGGAGAGAGAGAGAGAAGAGGAAACCCAGTTAAATCAATATTGATGCGCAATAACCAGTTAAATCAAATGCAAAATATACATTACCTCAGCATAATAAAAGCCATCCAATTGATCTTCAAGATAGTCATCACCTCTTAAACTTTGATGATTGAAATGCAATGCAGCTGCTGTGATTGCATTAGCCAAAACCAATACCATAATGACGACATTGAATCCAGTCGATTTCAGAATGGTCTGTTAAAATGAGCAGCAATGAACAGAAATGAAAAGGTGATGGAAAGATTTAAAAACATGTTTTGTATTCAAAGAATAAAGATTTCAAAGTCACAGGCTGCAATTTGGCCTTATGGTATCGCCAGTTTTTTTCAGTTACCAAGCTAGAAATCGAATGGTTTTTACTGATTTTGCATTGTGAGCTCAGTCAAACAGGAGAAATGTTAAGAGTTTGAAAAAGAAACACTAACCAAGCGCAATCACCGCAAGTTCCCTTTGGAAAGTACCATTTTTTCCAGATAAAGTTTGTAGCCACGAGATCTGAAAACAAATATAAGGTCCACCAGCAACTACCACTTTCTTGTCATATCTAATATTCAAGGTGAATGACGTGTAACTATAGAAAGAGCAAATTCACTGCCCAGCAGTCTACTGAGTCTTAGTTTATAGCCGTTTAACACTGTCGATAAAAGTAAAAGAAATCGGAGAGGCGCAGGGAGCTGTATTGATTGTTAAATAATGAAGGTGAATCAGTTGATGAAATGATGGCCCCCCCTCTTCTGACAACGGTAATCATGACAAATCCTGCAAATTGTGAGATCCTACATCCACTAACGATTAGTCATCATTGTAGTAAAAGTGGATTGGGAAAATGTCAGGCGTGATTACCTGAAAAATGGTGCAGATTCATTTAGTGATTGATTGTTAATCTGAGCTATGTGCAAAAATGTAGGTCGCCTGTTTAGCGCCGACAGAATGCGAACTTTCAGCAACTTAGCTTTCATACTCTTAAAAATGATACAGATTGTAAACTCTTGCCAACTAATTATTGTTTCACTGTACAAGACACAAACCGAACTGAAGTCTGAATATTTTTTTTCCAAATCCTTTACTTACCCAGTGTAACGCAGGGCTACTTCAAGCTAGAACTATGGATTTTCGGTAGCAGTGGCATTTATTTTTACGGGATGGGTTTGCTAGCTTCATACCCAACCATCCCTCTTTATCGGCCTTATTACTGGCTTAGCGAGGTGAAGAAGTGCGTAGGCCGGGGATAGGACCTCGAACCACATAAGGCGTGATTGGCGAGTATTCTACAGCTGTGCCACCAACTAACAAAAATTATCAGAGCGAAGCGCATGCATATGGCACACAACCCTCTTCAAACGTTTCATACAACAATTAGGTTACCTTCTGTCCCATCCTCCTTGGAGGATGTGGCAACAAAAGTCACGAGAACGCCATCAGAGCATACGACAGGTTGGCTGCCCCATGAATGTTTTAAAATCACGAATACTCCTCTGAAGAGTTGGATTGTAGAAATCGGATTTGTTTCAAATCTCATTGTGGATTAATCTCATTTAGAGGACTACTGAAAACTGGGGAGTAAAGGAAAACTGTTTCATTCTAGTGAAGTATTCTTCACTAGGGATCAATGCCAAGATCGATAATTTATAAGGCCAAGCCCGTTGAACATTTAGCCACTTGAAGTGGATTTCAATGACCCATGAATTCTAACTTCGATCAGTTCGCGATTTTCTCCTATCTTTATTATCAATAACAGTGGTTAGGACTCTCGCCGACCATGCACATGGTCCGGGGTTTGATCCCCTACCGACGCACACCCGATATCTATGGTCGGCCTGCGAAATTTGGGCTACCGATATCCATGCTGAAAATTCCATACTTATACTGAAAATACGGTGTGGCATCAAGCTGTAATTAAAATAAAAAAAATAAAAAAACAAATATTGCAGGGAGTATTGAGCAGCCATCTGTTTCGTCCTAGTCTTCGACTCATCAGAAGTACGCATCCGCCGCGACGGTTTGAACCTAGAGCATTCTGGTTACAAAGCAAATTGGTAGACCTTTCAGCCACCAAGACTTGTCTCAATAGCCAACAGCCCATTAATTCTAACTTCTACCAATTCATTATTTCTCAGTGCGACTGGCACCAGCCAAAGTCACTGCAGGGGAGAATAGTTGACCTCACTCCCAACCAGGTGGATCCTTCTTGTCATAGAGTTAGAATTCATGGTCACGTTAATCTTGGTTCAACAATTTATCATTATTATTATTGTTATTATTCTACTTACATTCTGTTTGATTCCGTTGATCCATACTGTTTTTTTTTAAATATGCTTCGGTGGCACAGAGGTAGAATGCTCTACGACCGTGCAGGTGGTTAGCAGTTCTATCCCCAGCCGAGGCACTACTTCACCTTGCTTAGACAGTAATAAGACTGGTAAGGAGGGAAGGTTGGGGGCATGGGTCTAGCAACCCCATTTCGTAAAAACAAAACATCACTGCTACCGAAACTTCATAGCTCTAGCTTTAAATAGACCTATATTAGATGGTCGGAGGCAATCGGCAGGAAGCCTTGGACCTAGGTTTCGTGCTTGTTGGCACTCTTCAGCAAGGCGTATCTGCAACTACCTTGAAGGAACTGATGTCCCTTCTGAGATTCGAACCGGCGTCACCCAGTGCTGCAGTCAGAGTCGTTACCACTGAGCTATTCGGGCTCGCGATTGACCTCCTGTAGGACTGTAGTGGATATTTTGATTTGACACTTGTAACTAGTGTCATGATGCATCTAGTCCTCTCTTTGGTGCAGACTGGATTCTATCAGTCAGGTTTTAATGTGGCCACCATTCTAGGTAGCTCACCATCATGGTTTAGTAGACCTATATTCCACTGGGAACATAAAGCAATACATGGTTTTTCAAAATATCTATGACTGATATTTCATTACGCAATTAACGTGAGCTGGATGAGAATTTATCGAAACTCGCTTTAATTGTATTCTGAAAATAAAGTATGGCATGCGAAGCACTAAGTAGTCTATTCATGCTTGGAAACACTATTAGAACACCGAAATAATAAAAGATTGAGCAAAGAATACTCTTCTCAATTAATTTCTCATCTATCCCTAAGTTTTGTTTTCCAACTAACATTGAGTTATTTAGACGAAAAGAATTACAGCTCAGAAGCGTGCATAAGTGACAATGCGCACATTGAATTTTCAGGTGAAATAAAGGCGATAAATTATGTGGAAATTAAAGGTAATTAATTAAAAAAATGCACTGCTTATAAAAGACTTCAAAGGGAAGAGGAAATTAACACAGATTTTTGCAATCAAGTGCTGGTTATCGTAGTAAGTAAAATTTTCCGTCTTCGTTAGATGGATTCTGATGGCATCAGGTATGCATGTAAAAGACGAACTTGCAAGGCGAAATAGAAATACATCAGAACACAGTTGACAATTATAAATGCCTTGTTTAACATTGAATTTATGCCCAATATCTACAAGGACAGCTAAAACAGTGAGCTACGAACAGACCTTGCTGTCTGATCATGAGGATGATATTCAGAAATCCTACGGTGAACAAGTCTAATTGAATCCTGAATGCAACTGATGGAGGTGTAGGGGATATTTCCGTATTCATGGATCTGGTTTAATCACGAGCTGACATCAATTGGCGAAGCATTAAAAACCAGCAGGGAGTACTGGACAGCCATCTGTTTCGTCCTGGTTTGGGACTCATCGGAGGTACGCGACAAAAACCACGGTTCGAACCCAGGACCTTCCGGTTACAAAGCAAGCTAATAGGTAATTCAACCACCAGTGTTACAACAACAGAAGGCAAGACACTGAAGCTAAGGTACATTTTTCATTAATCAAACAGCTGCTTATATATCTACAGTTTATATTCGTTAACCAATCACAGACCATGTGATTTTGGTTTACATCAAACGACAAGAAATCGAATATTCAAGTGTACATAGTATTCTGTTGCCAATGCAGTATTGAACTGTGGGAATAAGATTCTGACTCCAACATCAAATAGAATGTTCAAATAGATATATCCTATCCTATCCTGTTAATGCCGAATTGAACTGTGGGAACATGTGAGAATAACATCCCGTTGGTACACCTTATATGATTAACAAAACCACACCAGGATTCGTCTCCATATCCAATGGCATATGAATTCCAACTTCTACCAATTCATGATTTCTCAGCGCGACTTGTGTCAGCCAGTGTTATCGGCGAATAGTAGCCCTCACTCCCAACTAGGGGTGAATCCCACTTGTCATAAAGTTAGAATTCATAGTCATCAAGTCAGGTTTCAGTGGCTAAATAGTCTATGAGTTCTCTCTCCTTGTAACCGAAAGGTCATGGGTTTGAATCCCTTTGACAATATCCTGTCAATAAATCCTAAACTGTCATGAAGCAGCTGGCTGTCCAGTAATCCCTGTGAGGTTTTCCAATGGTTCCCTAACTGATTTCAACTCGTGGGCAAACCCATAATCAATCAATGAATTCCCTACAAACCAACACTTTAATTGAATTTTAGATTTTACCGTCGATTGATTGATTGGACCGAAGTGCTCGGTCTCAGGTTGACATGTTGGCTTCTTGTGCAGATGCTTCGACAATGTCTGGGCATGTAATTCGAATTAAATTTGGTGGATGGTGGCTAGCAGTGGAATCCAGGACAACACGCATTTCGCCTGTCCTATTTGGGACTCATCAACCGCTGGATGTACCTGCATTCCCCAGTGAGTGAGTGAGTGATGATGTTCCTACCACCGAGGCTTGAACCCAGTGCCCATAGTTTCAAACGACAAAGCGTTATCCACTAGACCACTTGGGCCACGACAGCCACCCCTTGTGCAACGGATCATATTAATTATTTAATCGAATTTTTGCATTTTCTTGTCGATTGACTGGACTGAAGTCCTCGATCCTAGATTCCAATGCTAGTCACCATCCACTAAATTTAATTCTAATTACATGCCCAGATATCTTCAAAGCATCTACACACGAGGCCCACATGTCAACCTGAGACCGAGCACTTCGGTCGAATCAATCCACGAGAAAATCCAAAAATTCCATTGAATAATAATTAATATGACCCGTTGCACAAGGGGCAGTGGCTCTTTCATTATGGGTAAATTTTATTTTGATAAAGTCTCATAGTGTTATACAGTAATGTTTACTGATGACCACGTTTCGA